AATAAGGAAAACACGGCTTATAAAGTTTTAAAAAGTTAAAGAATTTGAATGATAACTCACCGTGGTGAAACAGTAATAATTAATATTAATGATGATAAAAATATCATAGGTGTTACCCGTCTACTTCTACCATGTTTGATCAATTCTTGTGAGCCATTTTTTGGATTTGACATTGCTGACAATGTATAATGTGAATGAAAGTCTTTTAGTTCTTGTCCATTATTTATCATGGCCAATGGACGTTGTTTTGGTCTCGATGATACGAAGGAATAATGACTAATAGAACGCGTTGTTCGATATTTTCTTAAACATATGAATAGAGCAATATTTGCTAATAACAGGAGAAAAAATGGAATTACTGTACGAAATACAACGATTGATAACGTATAATAAAATTTAATTTGATCGGTTATGATTGAACTATTACCACCGATTAGATCATCAGTTCCATAAAGACAAAGAATATTAATTGTTCGATTGTTATAGAGTCTGGCGAGAAGAAAAAAACCAATTGATTATTCAAGAGAAAAAAAATGCTGTTTACAGATAAAATATCGTAGAAAAACAGATGGTTACTTTCTCTGTACGGACTTACATATTAACCTTCATCCTCTTACCTTTCTCTATAATATCCTGGTTTTAAAAACAATAAATTAATGAGGATACTAAACGATATGATACTAATAATACAAATAATTGCTCGTTGTCCTCGTCGTTGTCGACATTTCATTGATTTAAAAATGACTGCACATCGTTCAATTGTTAATGCAGCCGTGATCCATACACTAACACCACTTGTCACCGATTCAATAAACATTTGTGTTGAACATTCAAATCGTTTAAACGCCATTTTTAATACTTTAAAATCAATAAATAAAAATACACACCATACAACTAATCGTATCGAATCAAATAACGCTATTGTAGAAAAATAATAACAATAAGCTGTTCGATGAAAATGATGAGACGAATGAAAATAATAGAGTGCAATTAAATTAAATGTTAAACCAAATATAAATAGAAAAATAGCTGGAATGATATGACCATAGGTGAACACTGCTACGGCATATCTTTCACACGGATATGTGTAGTTAAACTGATTAACCGTATTTATCGAACTGTTCATGGGTGTCATTCAAAACTACAAAATGTAAACATTAAAATATGGCTGATGTTTCTACACATTTTCTATTTCTTACATTTATAGATCTGTTGTTATCTGTTGATCTTTATGTTGTTTCTTGAACAAATGTTTTAAATATGAACTTACAAAAAATTTTCATTTTTAGATAAGAATATCAATGTACCAATATGATCTGTAATAATAGTAAAAAAAAATCTTACTTTCTAA